TATCTTGTCATATTTTAAGTTTTTAAAAAAAAACACGCTTAAACTCGTATTTATAACTTAATAACTAAGTTGAGGTGAAATAATAACATTATAATTTATAACGTAAATCATGTTTTCGTACAGTTTCCTTTATATCCCGCAGAAACATGTTTTCGTAATTGAAAGGTTGACGGGTAAAGAATTAGGCATTAAGTCTGCCATACTATATGTACTACTTTGGTATTTAATGTGTAAATAAATAAACGAATAAATAAAAATAAAACGTTTAATGTTCTGGTTATCATCCAGGAGCCAAAGCAGTTTAAAGAATTGTTACGAAATGCAAGAAATATGGCGTTAAAACTTTGTATTGGCGTTGACGCTGCTGAGAGCATTATTTTATTTTCGATTTTCGTATGCATACCTTTCTTATCAAGTTCATTCCGATGAAATTTGCTCAAAATATCACCCACGAGGAATATCGGGCAATGCACGCGGTCGAGTGCCCATTTCTCACGTTCGAACCAGTTTTAGAGACTGGTTAGGCTGCATGCCGATCAAGAAAGGTGCTCGCGCGGTGCCATAAAGGGTGAAATAGTTTTTTTTGTTCTCTCACGTCCCTGAAGTATGTGGTCGGATGTTAGTTCGTGCGTCTGTGTTCATAGCTGTTATTTAAAATTTTGTACATACGTGTAAGCTATTTATATTTTACTATTGTTAAAATTCAAAAACCATTTAGCAAAATTATTCAAGTAATCACAGGACAATTATTTTATTAATATAATAAAACGATAAGCTATAAAGAAATTAAAACATTTTTATAACTTATTACGTTGTATTAATTGTACTTTTTTATAGAATGAGGGTGACAAACGAGCACACAGTCCTGATGGTAAGTGGATGCTGTGGCCCATAGACATCTATATTTATCCTTGATTAAGAATCAAAACGCAGATGCGTTGTCACCCCTGAGGACTAAAATGGAATGCCTCGTTTCCAGTAAAAAAGGGTCTCCGGATCTCTACACTCACCATACGAAACACAGCAGTATTAAGCTATTATTTTATGCTGGTATTCTGTGAGAACGTATTCCTTACCCGGTCGAGCCGACCCATTCGTGCTACAACTATAATAAAGCTGCAGCGTGACTCTACCACGTATGTACCTGTCTATGTATAGGTACTATTGTTGTTCTCTAACTTTTAAATTAATGGCCTTATGAATTAGCTCCTTAGAAATAATCAGAAATTAGTTTCGACTAAGATGTTTTGGACATGTAATTATTATAAATGCAGCTGATCCACTTTGAAGTAGCCACCTGTGTTGCAAGATAAACAGGCCTATACAACCGGTTTGGTTTAATGGATTTGTTAGGAGGAATATCAGGTGTGCCATTTATCACGACTTCTTATACTTTGTACGGTGACCCCTTGGTTTTTAGCACAATCGCATCTTGTACCTTTATTATTATATTTTTTTTTTCTATAGAATTAGTATGACAAACGAGCACACATTCGACTTGATGGTAAGTGAATCCATAGACATTTACATTTAACCTCGATTAAGAATCAAAATGCAAATGCGTTGTCACCCCTGAGGACTAAGATTTAATGCCTCAATTCCAGTAAAACGCGTCTCCGGTTCTCTACACTCACCATACGAAATACAGTAGCATTAAACGCTGGTATTCTGTGAGAGCGTGGTCCTTCCCCGGTCGGGCCGACCCTTCTGTGCTACGACCATAATATAGCTGCAGCGTGGCTCTACCATGTATAAAATTATTATCTATTAATATCTTATTAAGTTTTTTTTACTTCTTACGACCTAAAATTAAAGACCTAACAAAACCTTTGTTAAATTAAATAATTTTTTTATTTTAATAACGATAATACTGGTAATTAATAAAGAAAACACCAGAACAAATAATTTAGGTTTACGCAAAAAGTAGTAAACATAAATTGAAAAAACTGATTTGGTACATTCGAATCTGGCATTTTTCTGTTTATCTGTACTGTAAGATATTACTCGAGTATACTAAATACTCGAGTAATATCTTAAACCGTTGCACGATATTTCACAACTATTGACAGGTGATCATGTTAAACAGCGCACAGTCGCCGCATATTATTATGACGTGTGTATGTTTCTATTGCATAACTTGTAGAACCGGTTCCAATAAAATGTCAGACGGCTCATACAAGCTATTAATATCCAGCTGTTCAGTATACGCCTACACTTCAATTATGGATATCAAGTTTTTCGATGAATTAATAATTACGTGCCTCGTGAACCCACCTTCCTAATTTGGTGGTTTTAAACGATAAAGGCAAAAAAACTATTCCTTGGAACGATGAGGTAATGGGGACATGTGACTAGATTGCATACAAGTTTTTTTTTTTCTATATTAATAAGTTTTATTTTTAATTATTCGTGTTATAGTCTAATATATATATTTATTTTTTCAATATTATTTATTATATATATAATAAATAATGTTGAAAAAATAAATAGTTGGTAACGAATTTAACGGTTAATATATTATTATGACAATTTCGCTTATAAACAGAAATCTTATCAGACGCACAATCTGTGTGGGGTGGGGGTGGCAGCATAAAGAGCGGAATCACTAACCCATTACGCTCTTGACGTATGTAATTCATGGTTTACTGAACCGCCAGCTGCTCCGGTTGTCTCAACGATTAGGGCGAATACGAGTTCATAGATATAAAAACGTTAGCAGCACCGTGCACCTGCCCTCGTTGCTAACTGGATAAAAACTACGCAAGAAAATATTCACATGGACAGAAGCTTTGCATTAAGATAAGAAACTAATTTTTTAGGAAATTTTATCTTTGTCTTGAGTAATTTTGTGGATATAGACTTTCGACATTATAACAAATAGTAATTGAAAATGAAGGGAATAAACACACACACACACACACACACACACACACACACATATATATATATATATATATATATAGTTGTGGTCACATAATTAATGAACGATTTGAAGTTCTAGAAGTTTTTTATTTAAATCATGCCGTACACATCATAGTTATGTTATAAAATAGCCACATTAATAAAGCAACGTGACTTGGAATAAAGAATAAAATCGGAAACTTTTTTTTCACATTTTATATATTTTACCAAAGTAATTCATTCAAATAATACTGAAACTGGGCAAATAATTAAGAACGATTTATTAAACTGCTCGGAAACTGTTTTGTATGACACTTACATTTAAAAAATCACAATAATATGTAACGCGGAAAATTTAAAAAGCAATTTAATACATTTTAACTAAAATTAATAGTCAATAACATATCCACGGCTTTTAATTACAGCTTTACACCGGCTAGGCATTGTGACTCTATTAATTTTTGAAATTTCGCAAGAGAAATAGAGTTCCATTCTTCTAAAAAAACGTCATACAGCTCTCTTAAATTCCCACACTGTGTATTAGAAACCTTTTTCTTTACTTCGAACCACAGATTCTATATTGGGCTTAGATCTGGGCTGTTAGCTGGCCAGTCTAAGACGGAAACTGATTGCGCTGTAAGTAATTCTTTTACGGTGCGTGCTGTGTGCTTTGGATCATTGTCATGCTGAAACGTCCAAATAACCGGTAGAACGTCTCCACCATAAGGTAAGGTAACAATGTTTCTTCCAGTATATTTTTGTATTGGAACTGATCCATGTTACCTTCTATCAACTTTACAGGTCCAACATCATGTCCAGAAAAGCACCCCCAGATTTTCACATTTCCGTGTCGTGTACTTGGGGTTGAATGCTGTATTCGGGGGACGTCGTACATATCGTTTTCCATGAGAACATACTCTGTTTATTTTCGTCTCGTCAGAAAGAATTACATTTTCCCACTGTCGCACAGTCCAGTTTCCATACTCTCCCGCAAATGCAAGCCGGGCTTGCCTGTGGCAAAGTTTCAATATGGGTACCTTTCTTGCTATCCTACCGTGCAACTTTTCTTCTACCAATTTTTTCTTCGAATAGTGCGTGCTGAGATTGATGAAGGGTTGTTTTCACCAAAATATTCTTTTCTCAGCTCATTGGACCCTTTAAAAGGATTTTGTTTTGCCATACGAACGAGGAGTCATCTCGAGGAGTTGTTTTCTCTGTTTAGATAAACGTGGAACATTCGAAGTAGTTTGATACGTAGCAAAATGCTTTACAGCGTAGAAGACCATCGTTTTTGAACATTGCAGGTTGTCGGCTATCTTTTTATAAGACCAATTCTTCCGGCGAAGTTTTATTATTACTTCCCTTATAGATTTATCACAACTTTTATTTTTTCCCATTGTTTTTTCCTAAGAAGCAATCACTTTCAATCTTTTACAGCACTAAATGGCGCCAAAATTATACAAACAGTAACAAATCAACTGAGTGTTCTCTATTTAAATTTGAATAAAGGTATAAATTATTTAGCGTTCTTAATTACGTGACCAGCCAGTAAATAAGGACACTATGTTTAGAAGTAGTGTAAAAAGTTTGTCTATTTATTTTTAGCTAATCATGTGTATCAATATATACAGTGGTATTATGGAAAGGTTTTACGATATCGAGAAAAGTAAAAAAAATTGTATGCAATTAGTTTTGTGTTTTAGTTTGAAAAAATCTTCCCCTATATATATATATATATATATATATATATATATATATATATATATATATATATATATATACATAGTGATTACTTATCAAGGCACTCGTTTAAATCCCTATAAAAAAAAAATTACATAGAAAAGGTTGTTTATTCCACGTGGCATCCAAAAATGTTTACACAAAACCAGTAGACGCCCGCCATTCTTGTAAGCGTTATAAATATTCCATGATTAAATATTTAATTTTTGAATCTTTCAATCATGGTGCTGTTTACTTTTTTGTGTACAAAAATATTTTCCTAGCAAGTTCTATTGTACTTAGAATATTTAGCTTTGTTATTATTTCATTTTCTGTGTGCTTTGGATTTTATAATATAGGGCTTGCTTCTATTGTTTCAGGCTCGTCCCAAGAGCTCGAGGCGGTCGAGATTGACAAAAAAGGTAAAATGCTTTTACATTCCATTGGCCATTCAAGAGTAAATAATTCAATGAGCATACATTGATCACGTTATACAGTGGAACGATTTTAATACCAAATGACCCGCGTACCGCTGCCATCGTTGTATAACGCAACCGTTTTGTTTTGATTTGATTCAAAATCTTGCTTAAGGGTTCCTGTAGACCTGCTAGTTTGATTTAAAAACTCTTTAATCGATGTTAATAATATATTATCTTATAAAACGCCTTTAAATACCGTGTATTGGTGCATTATTTTGTAATTCTATACCTACATTTGAAGTAAATGAAACTAACTAATAACTTATTATTTTTATTTAATTTTTTATAATATGTAATGTTTATTTATTACATCAAATACTTAATATGTACTGGCACTTTAGTTTTATAGCTTACCTGGATTATTACTTTGTTATTCCGTCTTTAATTAACCGCTTAAAATAACCTACAATCACTCCATTCCATTATGTTATGTTTTATTTAATAAATAGTACGTTTTCATAAAACTATCGTAAGCAAAACAGCTAGCGTGAGGATCTTTAACTCGTTTAAAAATAAATCAGCATTCATATCAAGTATTCCTTAATTTTATATTCAAATCGGTGTTTTTGTTTGTCGAGCGTCATCTGCGTATGTATGAACCTCTTTTATTCTCCACACTATTCGCGCTTTAAAAATCAGAGGTCGTCGCGGTCGACAGATACATTTGTTATTATCATTACACGATCTAAATTTCAATTTCGGATCTGAGTAACGGGGACACAGCGCTTCTGATAAATATTTCTACATAATTACTTGCCTTTATTCGAAAAACTTCAGGCGATTGGTCTCGTTTCTCTGTTATGTAGAAACCTGACTTACCTCTCAATATATATACAAATAGTAATAGTAAATACAATGTTACTTACTTCTACTTTATGCCATACTTTATGAAGAAATTCTTCTATATTCCTAGGAAAAATCCCAAGCTCCAAAAAGATTGTATTCAAAAGATTAGTAGTGTTCGTTAACTTAAAATATTTATGAAGCAAAATGAAAAAACCATAAAACGTTTTAAGTGAATATTATAAACTAAATACGTTAAAGAAACCTTCGATTTTATCACAAATAATTTTGATATTGATTTCTGACTTAATATTAAAACGTATAATTTACGTGTTTTTGATATCACTACTAAACCTACCTTATTTCATTAACATTACTTCTACGGATCGTGTTTACGGCCCACGTCTTAGTGTAATCTAAAGCAAATTAAGATTCTCGTATCGTGTTAATTTTTGTGCTCCGTGGGTGTCATAGGAGACATCTGCAGGAAATGCCATAAATATCATGGCCGCCGATAGATGGCGATATTACTTAGTATAAGCTAGGTAAAAGACCCAGTCTGACAACAGAGAACAACTTCAAAGGTGCGAGTCATCTCGTACTGCGATTCGTCTTCCAAGTGCCATTATAGCAAATCCTACTACCTACGCTAGATGACTATAATGCCCACGTGCCTGATTACTGAGACCGTTACGGGCTCAAAAATAGTCTGGTATAATTCCTACTTCTTTTCCTTTTTATTCTTCCGTACTGCCTAGTAGTCTACGCTGCAAGGCTACTTCTTGCTGTAAGTACCGGTTTTAAGGATTCTGAATAATTAAAGGCTGTAACGCATCTAATTATTGTACTCAAGGTTGACCAGGCATCTGTTGCCATTTGTGTTTGTTTTATTTTTAAGTAGGTTACAGATGTCTGTTCCATAGGCTGCTGTGATCGCTTACTGTGGTGTGTATGTGTATGTGTAGTAGTAATAATTGGCTTTGTCGCTCTATAAATAATACCTACAATAAAGAAATTCCTTTACTGTTGAAGGACATAAGCAACTAGGAAAGGTTTTTAAGATTTTAGGAAACTAGAGTTGGGCCGATCAGTACTTTGGCCGATTGGCCGATTAGCCGGTATTAATCGGTTAAGAAATGGCCAATTAATCGGCCGATTAATCTGCCCAGCCGATCCCTATCTGATGACACATTCAAATAGTGGAACAAAAATTCTTCCAGATATTAAGAAATGTCCCGTTTAGCCAAAGTTTTCCTTTGCTGCCCTGCGAACTCTGCGTATAGTGAAAGACTTTTTTCTGACGCAGGGAATATCTAGTATCTACGAAACAAAAAGAAAACGACTAAACCAGAAAAGGCTGAGATTTTGGCCTTTTTGCATCACAATTTTCCACTGGTTAAAAATAACAAATAACATTGATTAAAACTACTTTTACGGATTTTATCGCATTTTATTTATATTAATTTTAATACCCGACGTTTCGGGTGCTTTCCAGCACCCATGGTCACGGGGGACTGAGGTGACTGACGTCCCGATGTCATTATTAAACCCGGAGTACCATCAGCTTTTTAATTATTGTTCATGGTCCGATCTATGCAGAATGAACTAACTATGCCCTGAGGTCTTACAGTGGTATTCTTGGGTTTAGTTTTAATTTTATTGATTATAGGGTCCCAAGCAGGTGGTAGTACCCAGCCTCCTTCTCTATTGAAATTAGGATGTTTTTTTAATTTCAATAGCCTTCACGTATCATCCTTGGTAGGAATCGATGTTCTTTCGCGAGGATTTGTGGTCTATCAAATATGGAAAGCACCCGAAACGTCGGGTATTAAAATTAATATAAATAAAACGCGATAATATCCGTAAAAGTAGTTTTAATCAATGTATAGTGTTCGCGTAAATAGAAGAAATCATTAAATAACAAATAAATTAAATATTTTCTAAAAAGCCTTCAATACTTTTTCAAATTGAGCATTTTTTTAACAAACTATTAGATGATTATAGATTCTTTATTTAATAACATTACAGGAAAAAAAAACAATTTATTGTAATTTTAAGTACAGAAAAATAACAATTTGATTTAATTTTTATTACAAAAAAATAACAATTTAGTTTTAAGTACAGAAACAATTATGTTCTATTCGTCTTTTAAAAATCTATATGCGTGTAGTCTAACAAACCTAATTCAAGAATTAAGTTTTTTTTGTTATACAAATGGAGAGACTTAAATTTTTTTAAAGTTTATTGAGAATAATATTATTAATGTTTTATTTTGTTGTGTTACTATTCTGCATTACGATTAGAAAAAGTTAAAAAGGAGAATTAAAATAGTAAGTATTTAGGTTTTTGTTTAGTTTTAAATAGCTACCTCAGATTCTTTTTTTTACCAAAGTTCCTATGTCCAGAATAATTAACATTAAAACATGTGAGACTGATTTTTCAATAAAAGTTATGTATGAACCTACTTATTTTATTATTTATTTGATTTACCTACATATAAATCTGACGTGATTTTACGCATGGGAGAGAAACTATACTTTTCTTAAATTTAAAACTTTACTCATATCAATGTAGCCGCAGTTACCACGCAGAAAATCACGAAAAACCTTTCCTAAAATAATAAAATAAAAAGCCGATTATTCGGCCGTTTTAGCCGATTAATCGCCGACTAATCGGTGACTACAAATAGGCCGATTAATCGGCTTCACCGATTAGTCGGCGGCTAATCGGCCCAACTCTAGTAAAAACGTCACCTCCACACTAGGATTTTCTCCTGTATCGTGGTGGCAGTTTATAAACATAAATTTCACAAGGACAAACATCCAGACCCAGAACAATTACTTGTAGGACATACAAATACTTGTTCCGTGCGGGATTCGAATCCGCAACCCCCAGCGCAGCCACTCATTGCTAAGCCACTGCACCACAGAGCCGTCATCTACGGTCGTTAACCGTGGTGATTGCGGCTATTGCTTTGCTTTTGGAAAAGGCCCATTTCCGGCACAGGCGCGATCAATATCCACTTACTACAAGTAAGAAATATGTTCCATCTCGCGCGATATTAGATAGTCTTATGCTTATGTCTCACTGTGGACTCTAAAGTAATGATGATGTGATGTCATGATCAACATAAATACGTACTTTGACATCAGGTATTGTTGTTTGTATAAAATCTTGTCGATTTGCTATATATAAATCAAAAGTCAAAAAGTAAAACGTTACCGAACGAACCAATAAAAGTCATCGCCCATGTGCGTCATCTCGAATCTCGTATTTCTAAAAAACATAGCTATAATTAAATGAATATTCATGACACGAACTGCCCCGAAACAATTTTAAAGCAGCGCCGAGAACCGGTCTCTCAATTTTTTGTCGATGTTGTTGAACTTCGGATCGTGCGTTGAAGCAATTACGACCATTATGGACGAGAGTTTACGATACAATGTGTATTTATAAATACATCTCTTTTACGCGCGAATTGAGGAGTTCCGTAGACAATACTATTACAATACTTATATTGTTTCAACAGAGTCAACAGACAAGCGTGATGTAGTGGTACCAGAACCAGAACGAAAGAGTACGATTATTTATTATTGCGGCACCCCAAGAGATATAACTAGAAGCGATTATCGGCATTATTTCATGTAAAATTGTTATTTATAAAAGGAAACCTGTAATAGAGTAATTCGATCCGCGATTTGTTTGTTTTACTCGTAAGCTCGTAACCCATATGCGTCGGCTTGAATGGTCATTAACGATAACTTATCCAAACTGTAATCTAACCTCAACGTGAGATACCCCGTCAATCAATGAACGAGGTCCTGGCGACCGCAAAACTCCAAACACAAATTCTACAGGCATGTTGAGCAGCAGCATTACTAGTACGAGAGTTATATTGGCTCTGTGCTCGCTATCCTTTAGTATATTTTTATACAAGTAAGATCGTGATAAACGAGCACATAATCCACCTGAAAGTAAGTGAATTTCATGGTCCGTAAATATTCAAATCCAAAATGCAGATGTGTTATCTCTTCTAAGGAATACGATGCAAAGCCTCGCTATCAGTAAAATTCTGTATTTTTGTAGCTTACCTTAATAAACACAGCAACATTATGCTGCTATTTTACACTGGCAAACTCTGACAGCCTGGTCCTTTTTCGGTCGACTCGATATATTCGTGCTACATCCACAATGAATCTCTCGTTAAGTAAGATCGTGATAA